TATTGACCTAAATATTTCAACATTTGATCGATGCAATCTGTACCTACAAATATTTCTACTACATTCATTAGTTTATCATAAAATTCTTCTGGAATGGGATCTGTAGGCTTTAAATCTGGAAATAGATTATTTATTCTGTTTAACATTTTCTTTAGTTTTTCTAAATTAATTAAAGTGCAGGCATAAGGAATTGCTCTTCGTGTGTCTTTTTCTGAATACGTTTCGCAATCCCAAGCGAATAACGCATCATCACTCATACTCGAAAGCACGTTTAGTTTGAGGGGCGAAACCTGTGTTACTGCGTTGTCGTCTCTACACGTTTTCCACACCTGTTCGTAATTGTCTTCTATTTCTTGAATTCCCAAACTTTTTTGGCTTCTTCTAATCAAACAGAAATGCGAGTTGTGTAAGTACAAAACCCAATCTAATTCATCGTGAACGTCTCTGGGGTGAAAATGTCTGTTTTTGGGATTATAAATTTGAAACGAAGCGTTAAATTTCTTGTTGAATTCATTCATTCTAGCACAAGTCATCACTCCTTTTCTATTTGCTTTTGAAAATCCGTTGATGTATTCTTGAAATTCTCTCGTGTAGTCTTCGTTTAAAACACGATTGACGCATTTGATAAAACAGTGACCATCTGTAGGTATGTAACAATTTTCGCCTTCGTATTCATTTATCTTTTTAAGTAGATCAGTTCCTCCTCTGCCAACTCTCGACCTTTTTATTTCTTGGAAATTGTCTTTCATTAAAATTATTTTTCCTGTAAAATACCAATCGGAAGCATCGGATTTTTTGTCCATATTTGAAAAGATATTGTGAAAAGTTTTGGCATTGAAACCGAGGAGTGACATGTATTGTCTGTGATTCCCTTCCTCGACTATCTCTCCATCTATTTTAATTTGTCCTTTGAATGTTTTAAATTTATCAGAGATTGCCTTGATAACATCGGAAAATAGGGCGTTTTCTATCAATGTTTCATCAAGTTCGATTTTATTCATATTTTTTTAAGTATATATTTTTGATTATTTCTTTATTTTGACCTCTGATATTTCTGTATGGAATTTGTGCAAAATTTCATTGAATTCTTGTAATTCTTCAACTGCTATGTTCTTGTCTTCTCTCGATCTTTCGAAAAAGATGTACAATTGATTAAGATACATATTCAAGATATCCGTTTTCTTTTTATAATGAGCTTTCTTTTTGCTCGTGAAACCTAAAGTGATGAGTCCACAAGAGGTCGTTTGAACGGCTGTTAATGCAGCCAATACGGTTGGGACGATGGCCGGAAGCATTAATCCACCAGTCACGGCCGTTGCCACCGTTACTCTTACCGT